CTATTTACACCAGAGGTCTAATAATTTTTTACCAAATATTTAGTGCTGAGTAATACACTTTTTTTGATACATGTGAAACCTGTATTATTTTTGCTGGTTTTTCCTCACCAGTCATAGGAGTGGATCAATCACTGTCAGAAATTGTCTTGATTTTAAGTATTGATATATTAACCCATAGGTTTAATAAATATCACCATTGATAGCTATCAATTAACTAATATTCACTAAAATTGGTGGGGTATTATTCAGTTTTGATGCATCCTATCTCACCCTAATGATTTGTCTGTTTAACTGATATTGGTTATACATAGCTGTGAATATAAGCCTACCAAGATTTTATTATTTGAACCTGGCAAAGTAATAAATTATGCTTTTGTTTACAGACTAAGTATTTGTCTTTTAATTTTTAATATGCTATCTGCCCCTAATAATGATCCTGACATAAGTGGAAGTGTCAACACAAAGATAATTTGTAAGTAGCTAATTGATTAGTTTGATAAATCATATGGTTAGTAGGCAGTAGCAAGACCACATAGAAATTCATGAATGAGATTGTTTTCCCCTTGTCCTTCTGCCTACATCTGCAGTAGAGTCAAAGCCTGACATTTAAGAGTACTGAGTTCTTTTGGGAAAGAATATACACCCCATTAGAAGCAATTTCTTGGGGCTGCCATTATATTATTTCTGCTTCTATTTTGTCCTTTTATTTCTTCCTTCAGTTTACATTTTGCTTTGTTAATGTGTCCTGTTTTCAAGTCACTTTTGTAGACTGAATTCTATTTTTCTAAATACACTGGAATTTTGGTTTATACAACTGTCCGTTTTCTTTGTTTGTTTTTTTACAAAATTGTGAAGATCACAAATAGGTTAAGTGTAATAGCTTTGTTTCATGGCTGATAATCTAGTGTGGTTTCATAGCCTTGTTTAGAGAAGCAGAATGCTGTCAGACACAACCCTCTTTAGTTTTTTCTGTCATCGTAAGTTACTTCAAACTAAAATCTGCAAAGAAATAATGACCTTTCATTTAAGGGATACTTTATACTTTTATGTGGAAAAAAAGAGTCTTTTAAGGGATTTCTGCTACTCAGTTGCTAAATTTGCCTGAACAAGTCAGGGCAAGATTTAGCGAGTATTCTTATGTGCTGTGGATTTAGGGATTTTTTTTTTTTGAAAAACATTTCTTTATTATCTCTTCGTGGTAAGAAACCTTTTAAAATGGTTTCTGAAGTTTTCTAACATGTCTCCCACAAAACCACAGCCCTACCATGACAAACACCACTGCCTGTCATGGACTACACTAGCTATGGACCAGCAATGCCTTAACTTGATGCCTGTTTCTGCTTAGTTTATTTGGAACTTTTCCAAACCTAAACATCCTGATTGGTCTCTAATTCAGGGGTGGCAACCTTTCTCTGTAAAAGTTCAGAGAATAAATATTTTAGGCTTTGTAGGTTATATATGGTCTCTGTTACATCATATTCTTTATTTCTTTTACAACCCTTTAAAAATGTTTTAAAAAATCATTCTTAGATCACAGGCCATACAAAAACAGGACATGGTACTAATGGATCAGGCTCCAATTCACAGTCATTGGATACAGACATGCAACCCCAGGGTAAGGGAAAAATTATTTTGGGCACTTGCTGTGTAGGAGCCAGCAACGACTGCCTGGCTAAAGATTAGCAAGTAAAAAATATTAATTCTACCTGTTGGGTCCCTTGCTAATTTATTTATACTTTTCATGATATCTAGGTCCTTGTTTTTTCCCAAAGATAAAGAGACAGAAAGAAAAGATTTAGGAAGGGAGGGAGAAAGGGGGCAAAGGGAGATAGGCAAAAGAGGAAGGGAGAGTAAAACAGGGGAAGGGAGAAAAAAGTGAGAAAGAAAGCAAAGAGGGAGGTAAAAGGACAAGAGAGACAGCACAGGAAAAGAAAAAAAAAGAAATGGAGAAAGAAAGAGGAGCAAAGGGGGTGAGAATAAGAAAAAAAAAAAACATAGAAAAACAGAGAGAACAAGCCAGAATATGGAAGCTAGGGCACAGTCTCTCCTTCTTTTCCTGAGAGCCAGGCAGCTCTTAGCGGCACCTCCCCAGCTGCTTTCAAACATTGAGGTTGCTGCCCAGCCACTGATCACCATCCCAAAAAGTGAAATGTGGGCTTCACATCTGAAAACTTCCACTTGGTTTTACACCAAGTGAAATGGAACACGAAATTCAGGGCCCAAGAAAATGGCTCATGTTTTCTTTGGGACACTTGTGCTGTGTCTACCCAGAGAAAATTTAGACGTACTGACTGACTGACTCCAGTGCATATGATTAATGTATATATAGGGCAAACCAGGATAATTCAGACCTTTTTTTCTTCCAGAGCAGGTTTTCAGCCGGAATTATCTGGATGGTTGCCTCAACTCTCCACTAGGCTTTGCCAGGATAAGCACAGCCAGTGTAGTATGCAGGAGACAGGGCCCACTCCCTCTCTCCAAGGTTCCCTTCAACACCCACACCCTGTGCAGCTGAGTGTAGTGGGATCCGTCCTGACAGGCATTCCTTCTGGGGGCAAGTGAAAATTCTGTTTAATGAATCTCTAAGAAGCCCCCCAAACCCTAAATTTTGCATTCTGCTTAGCTGTCAAATGGCAAAGTGTAATAGAATGGTGAAGGGGGCGAACAATATTAATGCGGGAAAATGTTGTACCCTGTTCCCTTCCCCAATCGAGAAAGAGGATAATAAAGCCAAAGCCTATGACTTCCCAGTCAAATTCATTAGTGTGTATGTATATAGTTTCTCTTATGACTGAACACTTGAGTTGTAATTTTCTTGAAGTGGATAGAGATATGTATAGCTATACTTTTTGTTTTTAAAAGTATATTTTAAAAATAAACTACATCCCAACACATAGAAACAGTGGTGTTCATAGAGGTATAGTTTCTGTGACAAATGTGCTCCTGCCAAGGTTTGTACAGATCAATTTTTAAAAATTAAATGTAAAGCTACAATTAATGAGGGAAGAATGCTACTTGGAGTAATTCCTCAGTAAATCATTTGGTAAGGAATTCTTCTGTAAAAATAACAATTAACTCATACATAACCTGGTAAAACTGTGTTTTCATGGACTCCTGCACTTATACCATGTATAAGTTTGGGGTTTGGTTTTGTTTCGTTTTGTTTGGAGGAAAGGTGAAAAGAATAATGGGAAATATGCATGATAGTTTATTTTACTGTATCTTACAGATCCAACTTCTAATGATGAAGCTTCCCACATAACTTCTTTCTTTTTGGGAGCAGAAAGAAAGGAAGAAAATGAAGAGTCAGAGCTGTTGATACATTGGGATAATATTTTTCCACTCTATTGAAACTTTCTACCTTTCCTTCCATTCTGTTTCACCAGTTCTCTAAATGACAATTACAGAGTGATAACTTCCCCATTGCTACTTGTGTGGTATTTTTGTTTGGTTTTCTGTTTTCATTTTTATTTTTTGCAGATTTCAATGCTGATTTTTTTTCCTTGAAAACGTGATCTCTAAAAGAAAATGCATAAAATTCTTAATGGGTTCCCTCCCCACTTAGAAGTTGCCTTATTCCCTCAGATACAGTCTCTGTAACTACTGCATGAGAAAGTCCTGAAATGTATTAAGTAAAAACCAAAACAGCAGTAACAACAAATTGTTAAATGGGCAATTCTCTGTGTATTTCTCAAAAAGTTTTTGTTTATCTGTAGGGTGTATAGAAAATTTGCTCTTTTTCACTTGTGAAAGTGTTCTTGCTGCCAAATGGTAGAAATAAAACCCTGGAAAAGAGAGATCATTTGTAAAATATGCATCTGTAAAATAAGTTTCTCTTTTCAAATGGCTTGTACTGGGCTATTTGGTGGCCCCTCACTGTGTACTGGATGTGACTCCTTGAAAGCAGTCTGTAACCTTGGGCAGATTTGCAGTGACAAATGTTGCTATGCTTCTGTAAGCACTGCTTCTGCTAGAGGGCACTGTACATTAGACAAGGCCTTGTGCTCTGCTTAGTAAAGACAGCTCTCTGTTGCAGCACCTGTGTCCAAGTCTCCATTTGTTAACACATGTGTGTGTTTCCCCTTTTGGCGGATAAGACTTTGGGAAGCACGGTTGCAAAAGGATTATTCCATGGGATAAACAAATCTAGAGTTCGTTGAGTGTTTTTCTACTAGGAAAAGTACATAACTTAGTCACCTCACTTTCAGAATTGTTCCACAAGGTAGAGCAAAGACTTCTCAGTTGATAGACTCCTCCCCCTTTACTGTTCTTTCCACACCATCCCCCATCTCTGACTCCACCCCTCACTCCTCCTCTGAACAAAGAGCAGCTGGTTCAAATTAAACTCATGGGCACACACACACACCACTTCCCTACCTCCGGGTTTGAAGGGCAAAGTGGAGAATGTAAGGTTGCAAAGAACAGAAGGTATTCTGAGAAACAAGCTAGGATTGTAGAAGAGATTTTCCACCATCTCTATCACATTATCTTTGAAGCATTTATATATTTATATATATAATATATATATATTATATATATATTATATATACATAGACCCCCTACTTGTTTAGTAGCTGGAAACTGGGGGAAAAGCAAACCAAACCCATAAATACAGTGACCTTCATTAAAAGGTTCCATTTCTCTTTTCATCCACCCACTGATTGCTTGTTCACTTAAGAGTACTAGCCTTGAAGCCTGCCATGAATTAAATGATTAAGTAAATAAAAATAACTGAACTACACCTAAGCTCTTAAGAAGTCAGAGTTTATATAGCTAAGAGAACACTGTAAGTAATGATGAGGGGAAAAAAAAGTATTAGAAGATTTTGTTTTCATTTTAATTTTTAGGGCAACGAGCCTTCTGAGTGTGCAATACAAGAAAAGAAAATGTGATGTACCTTAGTGAAAGACTGGATCTTTGCTATACTAGGGTGCAAACCTAATGCTTTAAAGACTGGAAATGTCTTTGTTTTACTTTTTCTCTCTTTCTGTGATTTGTAGCCTACATTGAAGATCTCACAAGATGTGTTGAGCAAAGCAGAAGACTTATTATCGTGCTAACTCCAGACTATATTCTCAAACGAGGATGGAGTGTTTTTGAATTGGAAAGCAGACTCCATAACATGCTAGTCAGTGGAGAAATCAAAGTGATTTTGATTGAATGTACAGAATTAAAGGGGAAGGTGAATTGCCAGGAAGTGGAATCACTAAAGCGCAGCATCAAACTTCTGTCCTTGATCAAGTGGAAGGGACCCAAGAGCAGCAAATTAAATTCTAAGTTTTGGAAGCACTTAGTATATGAAATGCCCATCAGGAAAAAAGAAATGCTTTCTCGGTGTCATGTTCTGGACTCTGCAGAACAAGGACTTTTTGGAGAAGTCCAGCCTATACCATCTATTGCCATGACAAGTACCTCGGCCTCTCTGGTGTCATCTCAAGCTGACCTCCCAGATTTCCACCATTCAGATTCGATGCAAATGAGGCACTGTTGCAGAGGTTATAAACACGAGATGCCAAGCACCACCTTGCCAGTACCTTCCTTAGGCAATCACCACACCTATTGTAACCTGCCTCTGACACTACTCAATGGACAGCTACCCCTTAATAATGCCCTGAAAGATACCCAGGAATTTCATAGGAACAGTTCCCTGCTACCTTTATCATCCAAAGAGCTTAGCTTCACCAGTGATATTTGGTAGCGGAAAATCTGAAGTCTTCTGAACAGCTATGTGAGCATAAAAAATTTCTGCTATACCAAGCAAAAAATACACCTAATAACATTGAGGTGCTGAAAAGGTGTTCAATGAAAAAGGCACAGAAATCACTTTTGTATCTAATTTTTTTTGTTTACATTTCCAGAGTAGTGGGGGGATAGAAGGACCTGCTTTTGTAGTATAGTACGTTGTTCCAATGTACAGTTTTGATTTCTTCCTTAAAAGAAAACAATATTAAATTCTATTCTATAGAGTAGGTTTTATGATACCACTTAGACTGCAAGTTTGGTAGGTAAGTTAATATTTATGAATATTTCAGTATTTACATGTTATTTGAAAGCAGGAAATTTAAAGACTTTAACTGAATTTGAAATTTCTGAGCTAAGTTTTAAGGGGAAAAGATAACTTCTATAGAGTAACCAAAAATCAGGAATTATCAAGAAAGAAGTGTTGAGGCATACCAAGTGAAAGATTGTAGAGGAAGATCAGTTAAGAAAAAATCTGATTGAAGCGTTTAAAACTTCTTCAACATAATGGACAACATCTGTATACTAAATCAATAGCTCATAATGAGAGTTTTTAGTTTTATTAGGGAAGCACATCTTCTGTAGGCAAACTGGTAGGTAGATAAAATGTGCATTTCTTAAGCAAATGAATAGATAGGCTGTTCTTTTAGGATGGTGTTAAACAAATCTTATGGCATTTTAGCCTATTAACAAAGTTTTACACATTTGAAAACACATTTTAAGTTATGCATTTTATTGCTTTCTAAAAAATTCAGATTTGGATTTTTTCCAAATGATCTCTTGACCTGCTATAAGCTTTATATGAAGATGCTCACATCTTCCTACTTTTATTTCAACATCGTTGGAGTTTGAATTTAAATAAATATTGACTGCAAGAGTCAGCAGTAGAAAAGAAGTGAAACAACAATATTCACAGATGAAGTACTAAATGATTCAAGTTTACTAGTGTAAGAGCAGCAATTGCAGTGATTCTCATCTGAAATGTAGTTGTGAAACAGACTATTCTGTACATACACAATATCTGCTTGGCCATGTGTGCAAGGCTCCTTCAGAAGTATCTCTATTCCTGATGCTTCAATAAGTATATTTTATAGACTAAACGTCTCTACCCTCACATTGTGACTGTGACTGTACCATATCAGAAAATCCCTGTGAATATCTAAAATATTATAAATTTGCTGAAAGGAATGTGCCCCTATTCTAATATTTATTGTGAATTACTACTTTATGTTCTTTCCAATTAATTTTGGTGTGCTCTCCACAAAGATTCCTGTGGGGGGGTCAATTGTTAATTGAGTTTCATTCTGGCATTTTGTATATGGTTCTTAAGTCATGTTTTGGGGCAAATATAAACAAGAACAAATGTACACAGTGTGTAAAAATTAAGAATTTTCCCAGTCCTTGTAATTGTGAAACTCAAATGTGTAAGAGAACATTAGGTAACATGTTTTGATTATTTCTTTCAACCTCTTTACATGACTGATTCCCTATAATCCATGGGTTTTGTTCAAAGTACTTGTTTTTCTGCTGCTTTTCTATATCCAGCTGCTCAGAAAATGCATTATGCACCAACAGTATGTGAAACCTTAGCAGTGATACATGTTCATTTCACAGTGGGACAATTAGTTGCTCCTTTAAAAAGTACTGTTCAATGCATAGGTGTTTCATAGATGTATTTTTTTTCCACTGAGAAAAGTGATTTTGCTCCTGTAGAAACTTTAGGTATTTCAAAATGGAAATTTATCGATTCTGAACTGCTTACCAAGTGTTAAAAAGTTGTATTTACTCTCATTGTTCTTTAATGATATGTGTAATTACTAAGTTAATAACCTGCATGAAATGAGTAGTACATGTTTAAGTGACCAATTGTACTTTTTATTAGTTTGTTTTTCACAGAAGTCTAGATTAATTCAAATAGAATGTTCAGTGGTATTTTTAAACTAATAGTTCTGTATTGAGCATGCCAGTTCTGAAAATATAACATGGGTCTCTCTGCTTCCTTTGTTTACAATGATTAAACGTGGGTAGCAATTTGAGTTGGCTGGCCACAATGTGTCCTTTCACTACTAGTAGGTAGTCAAAAACAGAGCATTCACACTTGTGTTGGGGAACTTGACAAGAAACCTTTTCTACCATTTTCAGGAACCAATGTGTACACTATCTATAAAAATTTATTTCTAGATGGCAATTCAAAATTCAATTTTCATCTGAGATTTTTTTAAAAGATATTAGCCCATATGGGCATAATAAGTATTTAGTCTAGAACATGATGCATTCTTCCAGTTGCTTTCACAGTGGGAAAAATTTTTCTTCTCAGTTTTTCACTGAAATGGATTTTGGAAATTTAGAAAAATACTGATGTAACTAGTTCCCATACATTCATAACAACTTTATATAGCTCATCCACCAACAGTATGCTTACATTTTAAAACTGAGGCTATTTTAAGGTGAAAAATTCTGAAAATGTCAGAAATTATGAGACAGGTGAGAAATACACAAAAGCAATAGATACGTAGGAAATGAAAACTGCATTAAAAATAACGCTCAGAGAGATGGACAACACATACATGGTTTTAATTTGACAAAGTGTGAAATCCAGCAGGTTTGGCAATCTATGGGCTCCAGTCTAACTGGAGACTCTGAAAGGTAGCTGGATGGTTCTTGAAAAGACGTAAGAAGGTATCTCTTCTCATCTCCTCTAAGTCTTAATTGAATTAGATCCAAATATGTTCTGCTTTCAATCACTCTCATTTAAAAATGGGTAAAATGGCACTTGAGGGTTTCTAATAAGACGAACCCAACTTTTCATCATGTGAAAAGTTGATATTTTATTGAAGATCTGTGGCTGTTTAAAAGTAGGAAATAGGCTTCAGTGAGAGGAGAAACAGTTCAGTTATGAAGGAAATTTATAGAAATTTATACAGGATTTTCAAAAGAACATGGAAATGAGTAGTAGCCTCTGTAACAAGTTGGAAAATGGCTGGCATGAGAAAGAAGGAAATTATGGCAAGGAGACTCTGATGTACTTGGTGGTTGAAGGGCTTACAAGTATATAGAACCACTGGTTTCAAGCATTTACTGCCCTTTGGCATTTTATTTTTAAATAAATTAGCTGGTTTTCACCAAGCGTTTTCTAGAAGATTAAATAATGACCAAGGGAAATATCCTGAAAATTGCACATATAAATCTTTATGCTCCTTGTATTCATTTTCCAAGGTGAGGTAGTGATCTGATAAAACCAGAGTGAAGTTAAGACAGAAAATAGTTCCATAGTGTCAAGTTTGAACACTTGCAATTGTTGCTCTTTTCTGGGAGAGAATTTAATGTAGAAAATTGTCTGGCTCAAACTTCTCTATGACTCATGCATTTTTGTCCTAAGATGTTTGATAGGAGGTCACAGTGTTGAACATCAAGGCACTCTGATGAATATATGGGGCTGTTTGATAAACAATAATTCACTTCAAACTCTTTCATATCAAATTTGTCCTTTTTAGAACTAAAATCAGCCATAGGCAATTTAAGAAGATTATTCAGCACTCTAATTGCTGTGAAATCAGAACTTGTAAAATCACCTACATCCATCAAAGCTTGTCTTCCCAAATGCTCACTGCTAGTTAATCAAACAAATTTCTCCAGATATTACCAAAGTCAATCGTGAGTATTAGATGCCCACTGTGTACTGTCCACTACAAAAAGTATGATAGAAATATTTTTAAAAACATTGAAGTCCCTGTTCTCAAGTATTTTACACATCAAATGCAAGAAGAAAGGGGTATTTTCAGAACACAGTCCAGTGTAGAAAAATTAATATCGTACACACAGAGCTGATAAGTGAGGTGGGGTGATTCAGTCCTGAATTGGGCAAGAGTTAAGTTTGGAACAGAGGGAACAAGTAGTGAAAAAAAGGCAATTTCCCAAATGTGGAGAATAGCACATGTAAAGACTGAAGGGGAAATAAGTTAAGTCCTATTTAGCTGATGAGCAAATTTGGCTAGCAAGGTCAGAAATCTTTGTGAGCGCATAATAAAAAATAAGGCTAGGAGAATCTCTGGAACATGAACCTGGTAAGGAGAATTAGATAGAGGGAAACAATTGTGTCAGGGAGGCCAGTCAGGGGGCTGTTGTCATAGTCCACATATGAGGTGATAAGAGATGGAGGGTGATGGCCTGGATATTCTCAAAAAAAAAAAAGGCAAATTTGAGAATGAAGAGGAATAGGCAGGATGTGGGATGTGAAAAATGGAAAATGAAGAAAAAACACAGTCAATAAAGACTCCAAAGATCAGAAAATTTAGTTGTATCAAAGGAATTATTTTAGAGTATTTAACTTACCTTCTTAACTGAGCACCATCACACTGTAAAGACAAGGATAGAGACAACATAACAATAGGTATATTTGCTACTGGATCAAACCTGAAGTGTTTGCAGGAGAATATTTGTCAGGAAAGGCAAAGTGCTTCAGCAAATCTGATTTAGAAACAAAATTACATTTACTCCACTGAGTATAATCACAAAATCTTAAACAAGGAATTGATGGAATTTGATCATTTATATCTCATCTGATTCTATTTAAATGCTTCACTTCACTTTGGAGTAAAGAATTATGATCTTAAAGACACTGAAGTTATTCAATCAGAGGAAACTCTAGGAGGCAGAGATTGGGGGTGTTTGCCATGAGTTTTAAAACAAAAAAAGCAACAATATCTTTGATGAATATAGATACAAAATCACCAACAAAATATTAGCAAACCAAACTCAACAACACATAAAAAGTATCATACAACATGATCAAGTTGGATCCATTCCAGGGTCACAAGAATGGTTCAACATATGCAAATCAATGCGATATTACACATCAATAAAAGAAAAAAAACACATAAATTCAGAAAAAGCATTTGATAAACTTCAATATCAGTTCATAATAAAAATTCTTGCCAAAGTTGGTATAGAGGGAACATA